ATCACAAGTAGTATATCTAAATCTTACAAATTTAAAAAACTGCATAATATACATTTAAAGAAGTGGTAGAAAAGGAGCCAGTAAAATACCACTTAAAAAAAATAAAAGAGTAGCCACATACATAAAAGGAAAATCAGGTGAATGAGGAGTTTCAACTATGTCAAATGCTGTAAGGAGGTCAAGTAAAATAAGGACTTACAGTTCAAAAAGTCAAACTGAATGCTCTGGTTAAGAATTCCTTGTTTAGACAAAATGCAAGGTATAATAAGTTCTTCTAGAAATATCTCTAAATTTCAGTTCTAGGAGATTTTACAGGAATCAGATAACTACAAACTAAACTGAAGAAAAATCTACAACCAGTAGAAGTTATAAGTAACTGATTTTGCATTATAATCCCTATGAGTTATATACTATCTGTCCTAAAATTTTATTTTTCTACCTTCATGTATAAATATCTTCTGTGGCTACTCAACTTGCTAGTTTTTAGGTCATTAAAAAAAAAGAATCAAACTAAGAGAATGTAACAGTGTTTCCATGACACTTTAAACATACATTTGTAGAAAGTAAATCTTTTGCCAGAAATTGTGGATCCCCTTCCTAATGATTCATCATTACACTTTACATCCTCTCCATTGAACCCCTACATCTCTTCTCCCATCTCTCCCAAACTCTTTCTCTATGCTTCCTTCTTAAAAGCTAATGACTTTGTGGAACTCCTAATAAAAATTCTGAAACTCTTGGCAGTAAGCATAAGGCACAACAATTTTCACTAACAGATACTTCCTCTTTCTCTTGGAACAGCTTGCTTGTTTTTGAGACCATAAAGACCCTATGATTTTAAATTATTTTAGAGGGTCATAAAATGTTTGGTCATATGCCACTTTAAAAGTTCAAAATGTCATGAAAGTCATGTTAATAGTCTGCAATCCACTGATCAGAGATAGTTTTGCCAGATAAAAGAGTCATTTAATAAAAAAGATACTCCTGCATTCACTGAGGCTGCCAAAACTAGTAAAACTTAAACAGTGAATAGCCGTGTCACAAGAGAACACGATGCATGGCCTCTGGTACCGTACCATACCTTGTTCTACCATCAGTAACTTCAATATCTACAATAATGGCTTCAATGGATCTTCTTTATTCTGGTGACCTTCACTTCTACTCTTTTCCAACAATCCGCTCTGATAACCACAATGGCTTCCGTATTGCTTAGATTTCATTACTTAAATGTGTTCTACCTCTAAAATATTTAACCTCAAAAACTTACTTTGACCATAAATTCCCACTATTCCATCTCGTTTTTAATGCTCTTACTTTATATGCTCCTCATCTGCAACTTTAATCAGACTTCCCGTCCCAGAAACAAAATCTTCTTCCAATCTGTTGCCAACCTTCTGTTTTTTAATTCCTTAAAATCTCGCCTAGACTATCTGACCCATCATTTCTACCTTTTCCTTTATCATCACACTTGAATTTTTTTATTCCTTGCCTTTGATCCCTTGTCTCTTTGTTGTTTATCAGACATTTAGCTTCTCTTCTGTTATACTTAGCTACTCTGCGCTCTTGGAATAAACTCACTCAACCATTCAGGCTAAAGTTGCTATAATTTCATGGTCTCTAACCTCATTTAGTTCCTCAGAATTTTCCTTCAGACTTTCAACATTTTCCCAATTAGCTCCCTCTGGATATCAAACAAGACCTGTTTCTTAAAAAAGTGTCACTACTGTTAAAACAATGCTAATTCTTCTGAAATTAATAAGTAAACTTAAATGTGATTTGAACAAGATTCTCACCATTTCTTTTCTATTTAGGTTAACTGATTTTAAAGTTCATATGAGGCTGGGCACAGTGGCTCATGCCTGAAATCCCAGTACTTTGGGAGGTCAAGGCGGGCACATCATTTGAGCCTAAGAGTTCAAGACCAGCCTGAGCAACATGGCAAAACTCCACCTCTACAAAAATTACAAAAATTAGCTGGACATAGTGGTGTGCGCCTATAGTCCCAGCTATTAGGGAGGCTGAGGTGGGAGGATTGCTTCAGCCCAGGAGGCGAAGGTTGCAGTGAGCCAAGATCACGCCACTGCACTTCAGCCTGGGAAACAGAATGAGGCCCCGTCTCAATAAATAAATAAATAAAGTTCATATGGAAGAATAGGTGTGTGACAATTGAACTTGAAAAGAACAGTGGAAACCTATTTCCCCTACAAGTTGTGAAAACTTACTACAAAATTACTATAATCAAGAGTCTGGTATTGGCATTAAAATAGGTAAGTGAAATGGGTAGTCCAGAAATATATGCACATATTTACAAAACCTTAACATGAGATAAAGATGGAATTCTCGTGAAAAAAGAATAGTTTAATTTTTATTTATTTTGTTTATTTTTTTCTGAGACGATGTCTTGCTCTGTCACCCAGGCTGGAGTGCAGTGGCATGACCTCGGCTCACTGCAAGCTCCGCCTCCCGGGTTCACGCCATTCTCCAGCCTCAGCCTCCAGAGTAGCTGGGACTACAGGCGCCCGCCACCAAGCCTGGCTAATTTTTTTGTATTTTTTGTAGAGACGGGGTTTCACTGTGTTAGTCAGGATGGTCTACGATCTCCTGACCTCGTGATCCGCCCGCCTCGGCCTCCCAAAGTGCTGGGATTACAGGCATGAGCCACCATGCCTGGCCAGAAGAATAGTTTAATTTTTAAAATGCTATTAGCAAATTGAGTAGTCAATTGAAATAAAATCAAGTTAGACCCTTATCTAACACTGTGTATAAAAATAAGTTTGAGGCCATGTACGGTGGCTCACGCTTGTAATCCTAGCACTTTGGGAAACCGAGGCAGGAGGATCACTTGAGGTCGGTAGTTCAATACCAGCCTAGTCAACATGGTGACACCTCATCTCTATTAAAAATACAAAAATTAGCCAGGTGTGGTGGTGGACACCTGTAAAGTCTCAGCTACTCAGGAGGCTGAGGCAGGAGAATCGCTTGAACCTGGGAGGTGAAGGTTGACGTGAGCCAACATCGCGCCACTGCCCTCCAGCCTGGGTGACAGAGTGAGACTCCGTCTCCAAAAAAAAAAAAATTTGATGGATTGAAGGACTTTTAGAACCTTACTATAATTTTAGAATAAAAAATTCCAGATTACTTGGATAAACTTGAAACTGAAAAAAATAATTTTTAAAAAAGAAATTAGAAATAGAACTGACATTTATTATTTCATAAATCTAAAGCCCAATGCTATAAAGTTTTAACATTATAAAGTGTTATAGTTCTAACGAAGTAAAATTATATTTTGCCATTTAAATAATATTAAATATAGCTCCAGGGCTATATAAGAGTGGTATATTAGTTATATAAATTGTCACTTCATTAGAATTTTTATTCTTGCTTTATTTTTGTAGCTGAAAGAGCTGAGGAGGTCTACATGTGGATCCCAAGTGAGCTGAAGGAAATACACTGATATAAGTTAATTCTATAGCTAAAAGTTAAAAAACATATTTGCCTAAATATATATTAGACTCTAACTGCAGACAATTTCCAAAACATTATTCTCATGTCACTCAAATTAATTCCTTCACTATATATTTTTTGCATATGAAAGGCTTAAAGACTTCCAGCTAAAAACCTGAAGTAAAAGCTATATTATATTTAATTTTAAAAGGTGTTTCAATCAGAGTTTAGTTAAGGTAATAAGACATACATGCTTCATCAAATTAAACAAAATTAAAACGTATTCTATCTTTGATTTTTAGGCTTTATTTTAAAATTATGTAAATGTAGTCAGCCCTCAGTATCAGTGGGTTCTGCATTCATAGATTAAACCAAATGGATCAAAAATATCTGAAAAAAATTCCACAAAGTTCTAAAAGCAAAAGTTAAACTTGCCACATGCTGAGTACTATAACAAATCCATGCAAATCAAGTGATGTGTAGGCACTGTATTAGATACTATTTAAGTAATCTAGAGATGATTTCAAGTATATGGCAGGAAGAGTGTAGGTTATATGCAAATACTATCCCATTTCATATAAGGGAATTGAGTATCTGCAGATTTGGGTATTTGCAGGGGTCCTGGAATCAATCCCCTGTGGATACTGAGGGGCAGCTGTACAAATATATATTTAAAGTATACATGCACTATAAAGATATAGATGCTTTATGTCCCTCTGAATTTACTTGATTCCAATATGCTTTTCTGAGAGGAAGAGAAACATGTGGAGTCTAGATAATGCACTCAGCATTGCTCATAAACCTAGGGATATGTTATCATGTGATAAATGTATCATAGAAGAAAAGAGGTTGTGAGCCACTGGAATAGAAGTATAGATCACAGCTGCAGTAACTTTCAGATTACATGCCCTGTTGTTTACTACGAGTAGTTAAAGAGTAAGGTTTTGTGCTGGCTGCTGAGGACACAGCAGGAGTCAAGTCAATCAGGCAGGATTCCTTTCCTTATGAAGCTTACATTCTAATGGGGAAGACACACATGAAACAACTATCTACCAACTTGGAGTTAGGGAAGGCTTTTTTGGAAGATGTGAAGTTTAAACTTCAGACCTCTATGGGTGAGCTGAAGTTAGCTAGGGTGGGATCAGAGAAACAGCGCAGGGAAGTGGTTGGTGTCAGGGCAGAAAAACACTATTCCTATAAGAAAAGTTCTGAAGTAGGAAGTAACTGAACTGAAAGACAGTGATGCTGCAATAGCAGAAGAACATGGTTGATGGCATGAGATAAAAGAGATGAAGTGGGCAAAAGACATCATAGACTATATTAAGCAATCTAGACTTTTCCCTATAAAAAATATGAAGTGTCCTATGAAGGGTGTTGTATTAGGAGAGTGTTGTAGTAAGATTTATATTTTCAATTTTTCCATCTTAATTTCTAATTTCAGCAAGTTTTCTTAAGAAAACTCTTTTAAAATAATTATATGTAAAATGATTTCTAATTCCCACTCCAAATTCAATTATCTAAAGATGCTCGTATCTTGAAAGAATACCATTGCATACCCTGTTTCCTCTGGGAATGCAGAGAGGGTGCTTCCATCAATCTGACAGGGATCCTGAGCAGAGTCAGAATCTTTTCTATCTTCATTTGTAGCAATATTGGCTACTCGTTGTTGTTGCAAGTCCCACTGTCGAGCTACGTTGTTAATTGTTAACCTTTTCTTCTCCTATTAAAAAGTTAATTGTGACAAAAGTTATATAATGCAATTTTTGTAGCAGAAGTGACATCTAAGGGGCATATTGTTTGTACCTTCTTGTAATACTTTTAAAAGGAACATGTCCCTTATAAGTAGATACCCAATACATTCTAAAACAAGATTCAAGAGGCCTGTATTTACTCTCTGCATCCAAAATCTCAATAATCATCTAACACTCTAAAGGAAAAAAAAATGCAAACAATTATTGCTCTTTAGGAACTTAATTTTATTAAAAATAAATATACAACCAACTAGAGATTAAAAATTCAAAATCTGAAATTTTAATTTCACAGAAATTTTTACATACTTAATGTTACCTGAAGTTTTAAACAGAAATTTATATGCCTCTAACATAGTAAGAAAAACCTAATGATATTTTAGTTTTTCTACTCAATAATTAAGACTGGTAAGGTGAAATAATCTTGGAGGGTGGAAGGGAAGGAGTTGATCAATGTTCCAAGTTTCTCAGAATAAATTATAATGTCTGAAATTTAAAAATTATTCTCTAGACTATTAAAAGAAATTGTACTGGGTTGAAGTGTCTCTAGATAACTAGTACCATTCCAGATGAATAGGAAAGAAATTAATTCATTATAAGCAATGGATGCCTTAAGGTTAGTGGTTCTCAAATTTCAGGGTACCTCAAATCACCTGCAGGTTAAAACGATTGCTGATTTAGAGTTTTTGGAATAGTGTTTGAGAATTTGAATTTCTACCAGGCTCCTAAGTATTCTAATATTGCTAGTTCATGGACCTCACTTTGAGAACCACTGACTTACAGCATTGGAGCTCAATCCTCTCATAGAAACCCTGTTGTGAAAAACCAGATCTAGACTGCTGAAAGAAATTGTGCTAAATTGAAACGTTTCTATTCAACTTACATACATTAATAGAAAAAAAATCCCTATTCTGGTAAAGTTTCCATTATCAAAAGATACTACTTAATTACAGTCTATCAATTAGATCAGAATGCTGAAAATAGACACTTTCCTTTTCCTCTTTACTAAGACTACAATCCTGCATTGAAAAATCAGCTGAGTGTGACACTGACCCCTCTTCACCTGCTGGCCCTGGAGCCAGAGAAGGCTAGTAGGAAGATTCTCTGGCCACTCCTTCAGTACACGTAGAATAATTCTTTGTAGTTGTACCTGTTTGCATATATTTGAGTAATTTTTGGTTATCTAAGATTTTAGCATGTATGCATGACATTAGATAGGAATAAAAAGTGATACGGCTTGTTTAATTAAAACTAAAGTTTTAAAAGTTCTATTTCTGTTTTAAAAATGTTTTTTGGGGGAGCGCAGTGGTGCATATTTGAAATCTCAACTACTTGGGAGGCTAACGCAGGAGGACTGCTTGCAGGAGTTGAAGGCTGTAGTGTGCTATGGTCACACCTGTGAACTGCATTCCAGCCTGGGCAACACAGCAAGACCCCATCTCAAAAAAAAAAAAAATGTTTTGGGCCTGGCTTTCTTTTTTTCGGTTTTTTGGTGTTTCAAATTTATGTGCACAATTCAGTGGGTTATATTTAATATGTATATACTTTGGGGACTTTTTGACATTCTATGCATGTGCTCCTTATATAAAGCAAGTAGAAATCTGCGATTTTTAAATAAAAACATTTTTCCCTATTCTATAATAAAAAGGCTTCTTACCTTAAGGAATTCTATTTAAGTTACTTACTGATGACTATGCCAACCCAATTTTTAATCTAAGCAACTGTTTTTTTTTTTTTACTCAGTATCAAGGCCACTTTGAAAGAGGCCAGGGCAGTGAGTTAATGGATGATGGTTCTCATGTTGGCTTCATGCATTTGGATTTCTGGCTGGCAGGGGTAGGCGAAAGAAATATTCTGAATGAGGTAGCAGTGCTTAGAGAAAGGGCATAAAATATCTTTAGACCACTGAGTATGTTAACAAATTTATAACAAGATAGTCTTTGAAAATGCAAACGTTTTCCTATATTAGTGCCAAAGTTAAGCTTCTTTAATTTGGGTTATTAAAATCAGATAATTACCAGGTTGACTAAGAGAATGATTAATTTTACTGGGGCCAGGAAAAGGGAAGACATATTTTAAGACAGAAGTATAGCCTGTCTTAATGTCAGGTGGGGATTAACGGCTGGCCAGGAGGACACATAAGGGCTCTGGGCATCTGTGGAGGGGGAAAAAAAAAGAAGCAAAAGAAAGGTTAGAGAATGCTAGAGATTCTGCAAGGCATAAGGGGGTACCCAAAGTAAAGTGTAAAGATCACAGAGTCATTTGGGATATCAGCGACAATTATGTTTCTAATAGCTAGGTGCCAATAAATGGCCAAGTCTGTGCTAAAGTGACAAATATTTTAGAAGGTGCCAAATTCCAATTTCTGCCATTTGAGTCTACTTTTCATGGTCCAGGCAAGACCACACCAGTATATGCCATAAGTTTCACTTTCCTTCACTTCTAAGGTTACAAGGAAAATGAAAAGCAACAAGGCAGAAGACAGTATCTATACACTCTTCCTGTACCCAATCCATCCCATTTTCTTTTTTTCTTTTTTGCATTCTTCTTTTTTTTTAAATTGTACTTTAAGTTCTGGGATACACGTGCAGAACGTGCAGGTTTGTTACACAGGTATACACATGCCATAGTGGTTTGCTGCACCCATCAACCCATCATCTACATTAGGTATTTCTCCTAATGCTATCCGTCCCCTAGCCCCCCGACCCTCTGACAGGCCCCGGTGTGTGATGTTCCCCTCCCTGTGTCCATGTGTTCTCATTGTCCATCTCCCACTTATGAGTGAGAACATGCAGTGTTTGGTTTTCTGTTCCTGTGTTAGTTTGCTGGGAATGATGGCTTCCAGCTCCCTCTTATGAGTGAGAACATGCAGTGTTTGGTTTTCTGTTCCTGTGTTAGTTTGCTGAGAATGTCCATCCCATTTTCTTAATGATCAATATCTAGAGTTGCATGAGCAATCCTCAGCAAATGCTGAGGGTCTGTTGTATCATGATTCCAAATCTGAGTTAGGGCTAGAACCTGGGTCTCCTGATTCCCCATGCTTTTCCCCTTACTAAAAATAAATATAAGGCGTAAACCTCATAACTAAAGAGTCCTATTTATTGACATTTTGTTTTGTCTCACTTATTTTCCTCAGGCTGCACTTAATTCCTGGACTCAAGCAATCCTCTGTCTTAGCCTCCCAAGTAGTTAAAACTTCAGGTACATACCACCTTGCCTGGCTAGTCATTTTTTTTGAATTCTGAGTGCCATTTTAATTTTAAAAAGAAAAGCATCTATATAGAACATGAATGAGTAATGATAATCAGGGTGATGTCCTTAATTTTAGAACATAGCATGATACATATTATGAACTATAAACTTTAAGCTGTCTTTACTTATACTTTGTGTATAAAATATTTAAAAGAGAATATTTTATTTAAGGAAATTAATATCTGCTAAATCATTTAAAACCAGTTTAAAACAAATTTGCATTCTTAAGTTCCACAAAATCTTTATCACTTCTATATCATAAACTTTTTAAATTTAAAAAGCTATCATTAAAAAAAAATAGCAGAGCTCATTAAAATACATCAGTAAAGATGACAGTCAATTACAGTACATTCCAAAATGAAGTGAATATGCCATGGGATACACAAGATGATGCACTGGTATGAACTAAAAGCGTTATAACTTCAATTACATTTATTTTTCATCTCTTCCTTTTAAAACTAGCTTTTGCATTTATTTTATAATGTATATCATACTGTATTTCTTAAGTACAGGTTTATTTATAGATAATAACTTGTAAAAGTTTTAGGGGTGCATACATTCTGTTGATAGGAATAAAAAACTTACAAAGTTTAGAAACCACTTTTCCAGTAGACTAGCTAGCCAGCTTTGGGGTATGTGTGTCTATGTGTGCACACACATCCACGTAGACATCAGAGAAAATACCTTAAGCAAAGATTGTTTATGACTTTCCCGCTTCTTCTCTTCCTCTTTTTTGGCTAAAACAGATGCCATACGCCTTTCTTCTTCCTAAAAGACATTTTCCAAAAAGTATTATGAAGAGTTTAACCATTTTTTAAGGCTAAATATCATTGGTCCTATTAAGTACAGTTTTCTTCTTGAGAGGCATAGTATTTGCTAGCAGAAAATATACTCTCAAAGAAAAAGTTAGTATGTTTCTCTTTATTTTCTTCTTCCCTCCTAATGCTAAAAATCTGTGCATTCCTAACTCTGTTCCCAGCTCTGGAGGTGACGTGAACCTAGTTCATGCAAGAAAGGAAAAAGAATGAGAAGAAAAGGAGATGTATGTTTGCATAATTTTCCTTTTGTACTCTGTGCATCATGGTTCCACATAGGTTTAAAGTTTCTATCATCAAGATAAGAAGGATAAAAGTAATACATCTAACAATATTGACTGGATCTGTGATAGAAAATCAGAACTTTTTTGATGAAAAAAACAAGGGTAAATATCTTTTAAAACTCCAATTATATTAATAAATTATTCTCCATTAATATAATTACTTTTGGTTTGTTTTTAAGTTGTGTTGCCCAGTCTCATTTTTTAAATTCTAAAAGCTATGAAATATAGCATGATGACCGTAGTTAATAATCCTGTATTATAATCTTGGCATTTGCTAAGAGAATAGATCTTAAATGTTCTCACTACAAAAAAATATATATATATATATAATTAGGTGAAGTGATAGAAATGTTAACTAACTTGATTGTGGTAATCATTTTATAAAATATATCAAATCACCACACTGTACACCTTAATTTTATATAGTTTTTGTCAATCATACCTCAACAAAGCTCAAAAAAGTAGAATCGACAAAATAACATAGACAGTTTACAAAAATGTTTAAAAATCAATCATAATCCCATACACTTAACTCAAATCTTACAATTTCTGTGTATCAGTTGATAATATTCACTATGAGCAATTTTTTAAAGGTTATAATCTATATACACAATCTGGACCATTTTTCCCCCTGAAGACTATCTGATTTCAATAAATTATAACCATGTAACTTTTAATTTTCATTACCAAAAGATTTGCAGATTCTCAAAATGATAAGATAATTTGAGAAGACAATTTATTCATAAAAGACAAGCTTGAAAACATCTTCAAGATAGGAAACCATAACAAGTAACTTAGCAGATTTGAAGAATTACTCCTTTAGAAACAAAAAATTCTAAGAATTGAAATTTAAAATTCAACAAAGGGAGATTTAATAGCAGATTATACACAGCTGAAGACAGGATCAGTCAACTGGAAAATAGAGGATGAGAATGTTTTCTATATGTTTTAGTATCACCCCACATACTTCTCTATCATAGCACTTAACCTGTTTCATTTTAATTATTTCTGGTGCTATCCCTCATGCCTCCCACGCCATAAAATAAGCTCTATGAATGCATGAACCATGTCTGTTCAGTAATTTATTAAAACTGAAACAGCTACATCAAATGGTAGACATATTTCTATCCTTTTGATATGTCTGCAAACTGCCCTCCATAAATGCAGTTCTAATTTACACTCCTACCAGATTTCAACATTTGATTTAAAACCTGATGGTTAGTCATGAAAGCTGTTCACCAAATATTCTTGTGTCTTCGCATGTCCAAGACACATTGTGAGATAGCACTTCTAGCCCACTTGAAGATACATGTGGCCATGTGACTTGCTTTGGCCAATGTCATATCGACAAAAGTGACATGTATTTACTTCTGGTTGAAAACTTTCAAAGACAATGTATGATACAACTATTCTCTCTCTCACCTTGCTGTAGCACCTGCAAAATTCCACAGGTGGGTACTTTGAAAGCCTGAGTACTAGAATGAGGACAACACAGAGCAAAGATCCAAAATCACACCTCATAAGCAGACAGGTATTAGAAGCCTGAAATAAACTTTGTTGTTTTAATTCACTGAACTTAGAGAAGCTGTTATTGCAGCACAATCTAGCCTATGCAGACCAGTATATATATGTTATATTAGAATTAAAGAAAGTCAAAGAGACTATGAAAATGTGTTCTAGAAGATGGACCACTATACATGCTCCTGAAAACAAAGAAAAACCCTAGATTAAATAATTATATTTAAAAATGCACAAACAGAAACCAACACAGAGTTAAAAAAGAAAACTGAGAAAGCATACACTAGACAATTCTAATTTTAAAAATAAGGAAACGAATGCTCTAAGACAGTAGTAACTTATATGAGGTCACATAGCTAGTGACAAGGCCAGGATCAGGACCAGAAGCCATGGCCTGCTAGAAACAAAATTCATACTTTTTTAATAATAAAGATATATTTAAATTAATTTTACTGATTTTAGATAGATAAAGAAGAGTTTAGAACTCAGAAGTGATCTGCCATATGTTTTAGTTGTTTTAAAGGAAATGGAAGTGTAATGTAATTTTAGTGAATTTTAAGTGTCTTTTACAATATGGAAAATAATAATAATAATTATTATTTTTTTAAGACAGAGTCTTGCGTCTTGCTTGTTGCCCAGGCTGGAGTGCCGTGGTGCAATGTCGGCTCACTGCAATCTCCATCTCCTGGGTTCAAGCAGTTCTCATATCTTAGCCTCCCAAGAAGCTGGGATTACAGGCATGTGCCACCATGCTAGGCTAATTTTTGTATTTTTAGTAGAGACAGGGTTTTACCATGTTGGCCAGGCTGGTCTCAAACTCCTATCCTCAAGTAATCTGCCCACTTCAGCCTCCCAAAGTGCTGCAATTACAGGCATGAGCCACCAATGCCCTGTTGGAAAATAATTATTCTTAACTTTTAAAAACTAAATAGAGGTAATGAGGAGAAATAAACTAAATTAAAAATGCAGAACTTTGAATCCTAGCTTCAATAATTCTGTTAAATTCTTTTATTCAGTAAATACTGACTTGGTACCTACAGAGTACAATCTATTTCAGAATAAAGTGTTTAAAAGAGCAAAATATATTGATGTTCAATTGTTGACTCATCTATAAAATGTGAACTAGAAACAGATTGGTTTTTCAAAGAACCAATTTCAAACAGTACTGGAAACTGTATGGATCACGTACTACACATACTTATGAGATGATTTCATCAGATTTTTGAAAAGAATTTGAGCTTCTATTAAAGGCAGTAGGGCTTTAAAGGAAAGCTAAACCTTGGAAAACTGGATTTACACCAAATCAATTCAAATACTGAATGTTTTAAGGAATTTATGTATCTGAGAGCTATATTTCAGCCCAAATAATTACTGAGTAACTAAACTTCGAAATAAAAATAAACCTCTAATTGTGAAGATAAGTTATAAATCTGTTGGTAAGAAAGAAAAACTAAAATTCTGGCATCTTCTTGATAATAGTCCAATTTCTGGGACAAAAGCCATATTCTTTATATAGCAAAAAATAAAAATAAAAAAATTAAATAAGTTGGGGGGGAATCTGGGACAAAAAACTACTTTTTTCCTCACTTCATTTTGGCCACGCAGACCCAATATAGAAATGATTTCAAGTCAATGAAGCCATGCAGTGATTTAATAGGTGTTTGATAACCTAGATTATACTTTGTTAGCAGATATTAAGGCCTAAAACAATGCATATATTACACAAGAAGATTTGATCCAAAATAAATAATAGTAGTCCTAATATAGGCAGCAATTTATTTTATGAAATTTAAAAAATCAAATGGCAAGGTGTGTTTTAACCATATACTTTAGTTATAAACATTATTTTCTTTGAACATACAAAATATTAAAACAGACTTTAAAATCGTAGGGTTTTTTTCCCTCAAAGAGATGGTCAATAATTTTTACTCAAACAATCACTTTTAGCAAACAAAACTGACTTTTTTGCAGGGTCACATCTAGTGTTAGAGATTAGAAGTCATGTCCCCTGACTTCTGGTCCAGGGATATTATCTGTAAAATGCTGGAGAGGGAAATAGCCAGAACAGGGTAGGTTATGTTGCTGTAACAACTTCAAAACTTTCACTGGCTTATGATTTTAAAACAGTTTAGTTCTTGATCATGCAAAGAACACTGCAACTATCTTCAATGTAGTGGCTAAGTATTCCTGAGTGCTTCGATCTGATGGCATCCTCAACTTTATATAGGCTTCCACAGTGACTACCACATGGGAAGGAAGCATGAGAATCACGCTTTTAAATGCTTCTGCCTGGAAATTATATACATTATTTCTGCTCACATTTCATTGGCCAAACATCTTCCCACATGTCAAAAAGGAGGGGAACCAGAGCATATTGGTGAACATTAAGTAATGTCTACCAAAACAGAAAACTTACACCTGAGATGAGCTCCTTTTTGTGTGTGTGTGTGTGTGTGAAGAGCAAATTGTAAACAAGTTCACACTAAGCCAATTAAATGTGAGCTTGAGGTGAAAACTTCAGACATTGTTTGTTTCTGAATTGTGTTGTTGTTTTGTTTTGAGACAGGGTCTCATTCTGTCCCCCAGGCTTGAGTACAGTGGCGAGATCTTGGCTCACTGCAGCTTTGACCTCCTGGATTCAAGTGATCCTCCTGCCTCAGTCCCCCAAGTTGCTGGGACTACAGGTGCATGCCTCCACACTCGGCTAAATTTTTTGTATTTTTTGTAGAGACAGGGTTTTGCCATGTTGGCCAGGCTGGGCTTGAACTCTTGACCTCAAGCAATCCACCTGCCTCAGCTTCCCAAAGTGCCAGGATTACAGGCATGAGCCACCATACCCGGCCCTGTTTCAGAATTGTGAGAATACTGCCTGCATTCACAAAATGCTGCCTTAGAAATAAAAAAGAAAATTCTGCCTCCCAGAATTTTCTATACAAGGGTCCTTGTTTTAGCCCCTCAACATGTGTCTATTCTCTCTTTTTTTTGAATAGTTGTGAAAACAGGTGAAGATTACTGGGATATCTTCCTTATGTCTTCTCCTTTGTCAACTAATCATGTCAGATTCTTTGGAAATGCTCTAGTTTGTTGTCTGCCCTCTAAAACTAGTAATAGTTCAGTGTAATCTGACCATTGTAGAAAAAAATGGGATGGG